ACACAACAAGATCTATAAAATGAACTTATAATTAGCTATTTCAGTTTAAGCTACAAGATCAAGATGATAAAAGATTTTACATTTACCGCATTTCTTTACTAACTTCAACTTTGTGTCATATAGCATTGAATAAACTGAAATAATGATGAAACGTCTGACAAAATTAATGGATTTCATTTCATTTTCATAATTTTTATTCGTTGTTGTAATTGTACAGAATATCTTTAGCTACATTTTGTATACATGACCGTCCTCTGTTTAAATAATAATACTAAATGTGATCTATAAATAGATACTTACATATGTGTTAAAAATTATTAATAAAAATCATAATAATAAGACTTAGCTGGCGCCTTTGGCTTAATTTCTCGTTGAGTGATGGGGTTTTGGCGTTTCTAGAAGTACTGAGTAACTTCCCATTGGTTGGTCTAGGTCACATGAATAGGTCAGTTTGACGCAAAACGAGTATTAAGTTTCATCACGTGTGGTCTATTGCAAAATATAGTCGGTGTATATAAAGAGAGAACTAAGCAATCAGTTTCATTCCTACTTTGGAGTCATTCACATTTCTAGTGTTCCTGCTATAAGTCTGCACACATAATTTATGTTATACGTAGACATTATTCGCGAGGAAGAAAATTGTTTGGATAGTTCAGTGGAAATAGAAAGTGCTCCTTATTTTGACTATAATATTAGTCTGGAATTGTTATAACTTATTCGAAGGATTTCAGTACAATGCCATCTTGACAAAGTCACGGTTCTTGAAAGACCAGTATATCTCAGATTTTGAATTTATAAGGAACTTTTCATTCATATACGACTTTCATAGACCTTTATAATAATTAGTTTGGGTTCCTTCGTAATACCGTGTGCTCTTACATTTTTTATTTATAACTTTGATAATTAAATTGTTTGTTAAGTTTAACAAAATTTTGGGTTTTGCTTTATTATGTTACTTATTTTATGACCATATAGTTGTAACACTTAGAGATAAGCAACGAACGTTCAGCCTGCTCGTTCTTTACAGTGTAAGAGACATACATTCATACTATTTTATTAATTTAGTATAAAAAACGAAATTTCATCACCTATATAGGATGTAAAGCAAAAGCTTATAGTAGTATCATAGTTTCTTACTTATGAATTCAACAATAGAGAAACAGTTGCTAACCTTATTTCATATACCGGAAACAACTGTCTATTAAATATCCTTGACTTTAACAGAGCTGCTGAGGGAAAAATGGACGAAATTTATTTATATTTAATTACAAATAAAAAGCACGGTTTAGCGAAAACAGAGTAAAGATACTTGATTGTTTTAATCAAAAATGGAGAGTAAAAATTTTATAATAGTTGTTAGAAAACCTATATAACATATTTGTTTTATACGCACCAACGAAACCAGACAAATTGTTAACGTGAAAATCCAAAACAATCCAAATTAATGATTTCACCAACCTTCTAATGGTCAAACAGAATTCATGTACATATTAATGGGTGTCAGCATTAATGTTTCTTACAAGTTCATCCATGCAGACATGGAGAATGCGTGTGGACGAAGCAGTCATTCTTTTTTTTTTAGCACAATAAATGGCAACGTATAACCCCTAATAAGTCGGGCAAGATACCAAAAAGAGATAAGACATCAGTGTATTACGATCCTTGTGGCATTACTCTATGTGTGGAAACATAACAGATAGCAATTACAAAGCGGAATCCGAATATCTTAACAATACCGGCTAGTTTCTTCAAGTCGTTGGTTGTGAAGGTAAAAGAGGATGCTAGCAATGTGATGGTAAACTCCACACGTAGAAGGCGTTTAAAAAACATAGCCATATCTGACAGAGGTCATGACCTTTACAAGTTGAATGATTACAATATCTTCATCAATTTCAATAATATTAGCACTACTTATCTCGTTAATGACAATTACGCTTTGACATGGTAGTATGAAAAATAAATTTAGAATGTTACGATCTTCCGATTAGGAGGAAAATACTGATAATGAAGATATTCATTTTTGTGTATGGAAAATGTTTAGAATACAACTTGACTTTCACATGCTAACAGATTGTCCACTGTATCAATGTATCTCTTCCACGGGACTTTTGATTGAACATTTCACACGCAAAAGCTTTGGAATAGCACAAGGCGGATGTCACAAATGTAAACTGGAAAACATTTGTTTTGCAATATGGTACTATTACTTAGAAATTAAATATCCAATCGCTAAATGATAAATAAAATCAGTATTGTAATGATTCAGACTACTCCACTTTCGACAGATGTCACGCTGTCTACGGGAGGTTTGTTTATACCACTGGTTTCCAGTAGATATAGCAGTTTATAGAAACAATCAGTCAATGACAATATGTGTTATTACAATGACAGTTTATAGAAACAATCAGTCAATGACAATATGTGTTATTACAATGACAGTTTATAGAAACAATCAGTCAATGACAATATGTGTTATTACAATGACAATCATTGCTTTGACTTGATTAGAAAAATAAACATGATAACATATTATCATTTATTTTATTACTTGTTTCAAATCTTTATTTTCGTCTTTAGCGTTCAGGAATAGAGGATTGACTTTTACCCACAAACGTTTTAACTGCATAAGTCTGTGTTTCCAGATGAATGTATAAAGAATCAATATCAATCATTAACAGTCTACTTCATCACCATGTTTCTTTTTCAAAGCTATTCACATATTAGTATGAGTAGAGGTCTTTCCTCAAATGTTTGTAAACTGTTTAATTTCTTTGTAAATATTTAATGTCTTAAATATTTAGTCAAGGGTTCTATCGAATGATCCACACAATTACAGCTATCTATAAATTAATTGTAATTTCAGGTGTTATATATTTATTATTTTTTATTCGGTACAGTATATATCTGATATATTTCCGAGAATTATTAACACAAAAGGCAAACATAAATCGTCTGCAAGTACAATCGAATCTACAGTAATTATATAACCGTGACTAAAACGGGACTATCAATCAATATTTTTTTCCACCAAATCTGCAACTATATTATGACATTGCTAATTGTCATCACAGAATCTATTGTAAAGTATTTACATAGTGAAATAATTCCTTAAAGCATCCTGAAAACATCATTCGTATAAGTCATACCATATATTAATGCAGAAAAAAATATTTTTCACAACAAAAAATAAGTATATTCATTGAAAATTCTAGTAGACAACACTATGTACATATGTCTAGTGATTTTCAGTTTTGATTTCTAACGTTCTTGTCGATGGAACATGTGTTTCGTGAGAAAATTGTATCTCCATTAAAAATCTTTTTTTTTATAAAAAAAAAATATTTATCTAGAAATTTTATAGTATCCCTGGACGTAAATGCAATGCACTAAAACATAATTTGATTGCGTGGTGCAAACAAATCATGCCGTCATCAACGGTCATTTCCTAAGTACTCTTCTTTTATTGTTGTTGTTAACAGCATTTACTTTTTGAATCCATGGACCAGTATTTGGAGAACATTCATAGAAACACAAGTCCTGGAGAAATCTCGTCTTGCATTTATCAGACATCGGGTGATCTGGACAATGGTTCCAGTTGAAATTCAGCCAGGTGCTTTTGTTGTGAAATGTTACTGTGGAATTGGAGTTGCAACAGGCTCTGCTTCTATATGCTGCACACTGAAATGTATGTATGTATGTATGTATGTATGTATGTATGTATGTATGTATGTATGTATGTATGTATGTATGTATGTATGTATGTATGTATGTATGTATGTATGTATGTATGTATGTATGTATGTATGTATGTATGTATGTATGTATGTATGTATGTATGCATGCAACTATATATATATATATATATATATATATATATATATATATATATATATATATATATAGTTGCATTTTATAATTTATTTTTGGATGTCATAAAGTGCGTATTATTCGTTTGCATAAATATATGATCGATAAGTGTTCTCCGTTTATAGTGGTGTGTTTTTAATTGAGTGTACACCATTTATTGTTTAGATGTGTCATTTGACTGTCAAATACAAGAGGAATAGTGATTACAAATATCTTGCACATACTCCAGCTCCTTCCCAATTATTGCCTCCAATCCGGTCCATTCTGCTGGTTTATCCACCTTTTTTTCTTAGCCTTTTATTCGTTGCATTTACTATTAAATAAACCTGAGGAATGTTAAGGTGTATCATTACATGTCTTATTCCTTGATCTCGCTGATCAGCCATTCACAAAAATGAAAGGAGCTCAATAATATAGCTCGATAATATACACAAATAACAGATACATGTACCTGACATTAGAAACATTGCAAACTGATATCTAAAAATGTTTTTGCAATTATCCAAGGAAAACTAGTGAAACATAGAATGATAGTACTAAAAGGGAAGCAATAACCAATCTGGAACATTTCCAAAATATTTAAATAATTAGGTATAGTAACGCTTTCTTGTTTATTTTTACAACATCTTATGTCTCGTTTGAACTTTTTTAATTTAAAGTTCACAAGTATATGACCGCTACGTCTATTTACGAAAAATAATGTTGACTGCCACTTATATTTTCGAGAAACAATGTCCGGCAAGAACGTAAATAATTCCCAGATTTCTAAAATAACCTTGTGATCGTCAATCCAATTTTTTAAGTAGCATGGCTTCAACGCATACATATCCAGTAAGTACATTTTAACGCGTGTGTGTGTGTGTGTGTGTGTGTGTGTGTGTGTGTGTGGCTTTTTAGCGCAGTTTTAACTATGTTTCAGTCATTTTTTTGGCTGCGCCTTGTCTGCAGTGTGGCTGTTTATAGTAATATCTAGCACTCGGTCATCTTGCCGCAGTCACGTAGCATCATGTCACACCCAGTCACATTATCATGACCGGCGGCAGCCAGTCCAAACACTACCGGCAGACCAGTCCAAACACTAACCTCTCTTAACTCTGAGGCAGCTGTTATTACATATTTATAAGTCTTTGGTATGACTTGGCTGGGGTTCAAACCCACGACCTCCCGCATCCGAGGCGGATGCTCTAACCACTGGATCACCAAGCGGTCCACATTTTAATAATCAAAATATTATATGACTTTTATTGACTTGATAACTATTGAGGACAAGAATTACCAGACATGAAAACAAATTATTGATAAATCATAAATTCAGTGATGTCGATAGCAACAACAAAAGGAGCAGCAGCAGCAACAACAATAACAACAACTACTACAACAATAATAATAATAATAATAATAATAATAATAATAATAATAATAATAATAATAATAATAATAATAATAATAATAATAATAACCAATGTAAACAATTTTTTTTTTATAAAATATTTGTTTTTTACCACTCCAAAAAGTTCGGGTTCTGGTCCGGGTACCTTTTTGTGGTATGTGGCGTCTGGGCAGTAATTGAGGTAGTCAGTCGCATCTTTGGCCACTGTTAAAATAATTACATCATATATAAACAATGCTAGATATAGGTATCTTGAGTCCATTTTTAACTCGAAACACTTCTGTTTATACCGAAATCAATTGAATTCTGCAGTCACCTCTGTCTACCTCTTATCTATGCTCATTGTAAACATTTGTTTTCTAGTTGTTTGATTGGTTCATGTTAAAGGAATATTTAACACATTACTGTCGCGGTAATGAGAGTTGTTGCTCTTTTTAACTTTCTAAGGACACATCAAGGTAGCCGACGAAGGCCGGGATAAACGGGTAACAAACTCGCGACCCTTGTATTACGAGTCCAACGCGCTCCCAACTCGCTACAGCTGCCATTTCGTATGCACGAATCGTAGAGCAAAGGAAAGTTTAACAGTAACACGAATTTTGAACCAACGAAATATATGTCTATAGTATTAAATAAAAGTAGATTCTACCATGTACGTTTTCCTTTAGAGAAAACGTGTTAATCAAATCATATCGATATGACTAAATAATCGTTAAAGATATGTTAAAAATCACACACACACACACACACACACACACACACACACACACACACACACCAATCATATCATTTTGCCAAAAGAACACAGCTGAGTCAGTCTCATTAACGTCATTAAATTGGTCAATGCATCATCATTATCATTGCAAGTATCATTGCATATGGAAAGCAAGATTCATTAAACATATGGTTCTTATCGATCCAAAGATATGGTTCCGGATCGGTGGTTTGTTTTGTGCCATGCGACATCTGCGCATTAAAGTTATGCAGTCGGACACTTCTTTTTCGATTTTTAATAATTTAAAGCAAATGTAAATGAAAATAAATACCAACTTTATTGTCGCCATTCTACACTTACAAGTATATACATTCTTAGTGAAATTCACGGTTTGGCTTGATTTGGAGTTTAACGGTACAACCACACCAGTAGAATATTTAGTGTCAAATCAGTCAGAATAAAATGCTTAGTCGAAAGACGCACTACGGTAAACGACCCGGGCTGGTCCAAAGTTTAAGATTCGAACCCTGACCCCCTCGGTCACGAATCTGGCACGCTAATCACTAACCGATTGCGGCTTCTGTCTCCACGTGTCGCCTTTTGCGACTTGAGGAAGAGAGCAAATAGCAAGGGTGCCAGTCTAGTGACAGAAAAGATGCGGGTTAAAAGAAGGTCATTTCTCTAAAGGTGTTTACAGTATTTAGTATACATGCACGAAATGGATACAACAAGTAACCAAGTGCATGCTTCTTCACAAGTCAATGTTCCGATGTGATAACCCTATGGAACAGATATTTTTAGTGCTTGTCATATCGACATCTATTGGATTTAATGAATTGCCTCCCATAGTATATAATAACAACTAACCAGTAACGTGTAACACAAACACACACACACACACATATATGTGTGTGTGTATGTGTATGTGTGTGTGTATATATATATGTATGTGTATGTGTGTGTGTGTATGTGTATGTGTGTGTATATATATATATATATATATATATATATATATGTGTGTGTGAGTGTGTAGAGAGAGAGAGAGAGAGAAGAGAGAGAGAGAGAGAGAGAGAGAGAGAGAGAGAGAGAGAGAGAGAGAGAGAGAGAGAGAGAGAGAGAGAGAGAGAGAGAGAGAGAGAGAGAATAAAAAGCCTTTAACCTATATGATATTAATATTTATTCTGCCCATTATACTCAAGCATTCTCCTGTAAAATCCAGTTATAGCACATTTCATTTTGTTTGGTGTATTTTTAAAATTCACTATAATTAATCCTATATACCTTAATTTCCTTCAGAAGCAGCAGCATTATTTATACAGTTATTGTTGTTATCTTCATGTCTGATGATGATGATGATGATGATGATGATGATGATGATGATGATGATGATGATGATGATGATGATGATATCGCATACGTATAAAACTAATTATTTAATGAGGCCGGTTGTGGTTTTCTCGGTCTAACGCTCATTGTCATCATCGTCAGCAGCAGCTTGAAAACTCAGCATATTTATTGTTGTACATAATTACTCCTGTCTTGGATGTATATGATCGTTTGTCGCCTAGACGAGGCCCCAAAAATAGTGCGACATAGCAACAACGCGCCAACACGCAAACGCAACAAATAAGGGCGGCAAAGCTACTAATAAGAATTGATGCGACAAAATAATGAAATCGCTTTTCAAGATTTTGTTCACTTTGTTATGTTGGTTTTCGCTTTCTCACGGTGACAATTCGTTATGGCACAAATCAAACACCATTCTTTTTAAAAGCACATTGGAGCACGTTGGAGCATTCCCACCAAAAACATTTTTTTTTCTTTTTTTGCTCAATGACTAAGTGCATTTTATCTACGGTGTATAATTACAACTGTTCGACGCTGGTTTCTTATCTGATTTGAATAGGAGTATATCATGGGTTACAAAATATGACTATAATGATATTCTAATTCTAGATATCGTGCATTTTATATTCCCAGTGGCTTCGAGGTATCACAACACTAAATGAACCAAACAGCTGGTATTGTATTTGTAGTCCATAAGAAAATAATTAACATCATTTCTCTGACTTTTGCTGGAGATATGCTGACCAGTGACGAATACTTCTTGCATTAAAAAGAAATCAGCATTAAAGCCTAAACAGAAAAACAAAATGTTTGTTGAGTTCTTCTTCTTACCTTTGCGTAGGATCCTAAAGCAAAACCATTTGTCATTTGTTCAGTCCCGGAAAGAACACTTGCACTAAATATTATATTTCCAGAAAATACAGCATTACATATGTTAAATGTTTATATATGTTGTGTCCAATCTAATCTCCAACATAAGCAAGAGAACCTTTGCGCATCTGAAATCTGAATTCATCAAAACGTATAGGAAAAAAAAAAGAGACAGAAATGTTATAAAGAACTTATATAGTATATCGATATTGTACAACTGCAAGCTTTTGTTACTTCTTGTTTTCTTTATTAACCTGATTTCTTTTTATGTGAGGGTATTGTAATTTTGGAGTATTTTTTTTATTCTTGACCTAACATAGTAGTCCCTAATTGGACTGTCTTCCTCAGCCCATAAAAGAAATGGTGATAGGAGAATGGTGTCCTGAGAACGCATGAGGTCAAATAGTACAATGTGCCCAACAACTTCGAACTGCCTCTGTTAGCTTAATAAAGCAAGTCAAAAAGGTTGTCTGTAAGAGGAGAACGGTGTACCATGCATGCACGATACAAAGAGAACAGTGCACTCTACAATAATATAGTTTTATCGATGATATCTTATCCCAATTTGGGCTTTCTTTGCATGTATTTTAAGGAGGTGTTACGAAACAACGGTTCAAAGATAAAATGCGTGATCTGAAACAATAAAAAAAAACCTAACCATAATCTTCTTCGAGTAATTAATTTCATCTGCTTCTTGGACATCTTCCTCAAGTAAGAAAAGGCTGTATAGTGACTGCGGATATAAACAAGAAAATGTTATCATAATTTCTTTGACAAATATGACAATAATTCATAGGTGCAGAGTTGTAGCCTACTGAAATATTACAAATCCATTCATAACGCGTACTCAGCTACTAACAATGTAGATCCACATCGGATGACTTACGCCATTTAGTAATAAATCGTCAGGGATTCATCAACATGCACCTTTTGAGGTGGCGGGAGGGTGTAACGCCATTATTCAAATCAAGATAAGCTATACGTGTCGGCCAGTATAACTGACGGAAGAAAAGCCCGGGGAAATCCCGGTAAAAACAACTGACCTACGTAAAACTAATGCAAGCTTTTCCACATACCCGATTTTGCCGGGCTCTAGATTCTAACCTATGCGGACAGGTGAGATGGCAATGATCGGTAAAGGCCAGTGGAGAAACCAACAGATTTCAAATCGGTGGATAGGTGACAAACGAAAGTGACCAGTTTTAACACAACCTTTTCTAAATCAGCAGCCAAACTGGTAAGTTGAAAATAATAATATTATATTTATTTTGTTTCTGTTTATTTTCCTCATATCATTAACCTCCATAATGGCTTACAAGTACACTCAGTTTTAACTACGTACCGAGAGTTAAAGACAGACCAAGGCATATTATTTTATCTTTATCGCAAGGTAAGAAATAAAAGATTATATATATATATATATGTATGTATGTATGTATGTATGTATGTATGTATGTATGTATGTATGTATGTATGTATGTATGTATGTATGTATGTATGTATGTATGTATGTATGTATGTATGTATGTATGTATGTATGTATGCATGTATGTATGTATGTATGTATTAAAAAAACCCAACAAATTCCAACATAGTAAACCGGATTTAGATCTTTTACAAATTAGAGCAAGGGTACGTTTTCCGAATCTATCTGAGGGTCACAATTCCTCCTCCCCAAACACAAACCCCTCGGAACAGTAAGTGGTCAGTCCCTGACAATACTGATATTTTGCTTCAGCAAAATCATTAATAATAATGAAGGTTATGTCGATGATAATAATGATGATGATACAAAAATCAGATTGTAGTTGTACTGATTACTCTGCGTCCTTCATTACTTTCGCAACATCGTGGTCAGTTTTACTTGCCGCTATATTGATTATTTAC